TGTAGGGAAGTAAAAGCCATTACACTGGCACACAATGGCTGAGGCACTCAGCACAGAAAGTGGGTATCAATACTCGTGGTTCCTGTTTCCCCTTTACAGGTGTGGGGAATGGACTGTTAGCAATCCCAAACAGAAAAATCTTCCTTTGTTCTAAAGGTGTGTCGCCCTCTCCTGGCTGCAGGGTTGATCAGCACATTGCAGGCTCCGATTTGGGCTGGGTTCACATTTTAATTGTATTCCTTGTTGCATTAATTTTGTAGTAGCATATTGAGTTCTTATGAAACATTTTAGCATTTTTTTTTATTATGAAGAGCTGTAATCTGAAGTTAAAAATGGAAAGTTGTTTATGGGAGGAGTAGTTTAAATCACACAGTGTACATTAATATAATTTATTTTATCAAGATTCCCAGAGAGTGAAACTGGTGTAACATATTTCCTTCCTGTAGAATGAGATGGGGAATCCGGGACCCAGTAAGTCTCTGGTGAGTGTTACAAGCACTTTGTTTGAGATCTCAAAATTGGAACTTGCTCAGACAGAAAAAAGAGGCAGGTTGCGGTAGTTCGAGTTTCTTTAATAGAGTAGTAGAGAAACTCTCCCCACAACCTTCTGTTTGAAGCCCTTACCCTCTAATGCGCAGGCGGAACATGCGCAGTGAACCCATTTTAAAAAAGATCCGGTGTTCTATTTGTATTGTTTTGTGTTCAGATTGTGAAACTATTAATACTTTGAAGCGCCTGGCTTGTAGAATATTTCCGCCCGCGCCCCCCGCCCCATCTCTGGTGGATTGCTTCTTGTTCTCAGCTCTTAGGGGGCTTAACGTCTCTCAGCTTTGGCGATAACGCTTGAGAATCGGTCCGCGGAGTGACACGGGATGTAAAAAACCCGGAAAAGCTCAAGGGTCAAGATGGTGGTTATAAAACCGACCGCTGTGGTGATCGGTAAGCAGCTACATGTATCAAAATAACTCTGGAATTTCGTAAAAATAAGGCCTACTTGGGTCTTAGTTTTTAGGTAGGCAGGATCAGTGCGCCACTGAGAGAGACCAAATCATATTTTACGTATTAGCATCCGAGCTGACATGGATTCCGGAACCGACGGCTTCCTACCGCCACCTGAGTGCCCAGTGTTCGAGCCTACCTGGGCTGAGTTCCGAGACCCGCTTGACTACATCGCGAAAATCAGGCCCATAGCCGAAAAATCGGGCATTTGCAAGATCCGACCGCCCGCGGTAAGCCTCTGAATCAAAATTTATAGGGGGTGGCTTTTGGATTGAGTTCAGGGTTACTACAGATTTACAAGGCTTTAGATGTAGAGCTACAAACTCGTAGCACTTAGCTGAATCCTCCTTTGTTTGTTAATTTCTTATTATTTAAACGTCTGACTAGAACACCCTCTCGTGAAAAAAGTTCGTATCGGGTCCTCAGACTTCGTGGAGTTAATCATTATTGAAGAAACGAAAAGATCTTCGAAATTGATTCTGCACTGTGCCACTAGTTATATGGATTTTTATGTCTTACACTTAACATTAAAACAAATTTTAATGTATTCAGAAGTAATTGTTATGTAACTGAAGCAACGAAAACTTACATGAATTATTTGTTAACCACAGGACCTAGGATTATTTCGTTTTCTCATAGAACTACGGCGTTTGTAATAAACAGAAAACAGTAGGGTGGCATTTCGAGTTCTTCCGACCAATCATACTGATATTATTTTACTTAGTGACCTCTCCTCTTAACTTAATATACTTAGCACTACTAATTGAAACAAATGTTTGCTAAATTAAGAGTGCAAACTGAAAAGAACCTAGGCCATCACTTTAAATAATTAATAGGATATTCCAAGTGTATGTCAGCTTTAATGGCATAGTATTCATTCATTACATACTTATTGAGACTATAACATTTGCATTTTTCTATTTGCATAGTTATACTTTTCTCAGTATTATGCTTAGCTTTTCTAAGAGTAGGAAGAGATAATGATCTACGTTTGAAAATAAACAGTTTCTTAACAATATTTACTTCATCTCAAAACTCCAGTGGGCCATTTTTTTACTAGATGCGTCATTTTAAACTCAGCTTTTAGGCTGTTTGTGGGAATTTCTTTTTTTGTTTTACTGTTTGCAGTGTTTTTCGAGGAGACATACCAAGTAGTGTTTTGCATTCTATAACCTCTCCTCCCCCCTCAGTTATCTCATGCTAAAGAAGCAACTATTTGAGCACTTGGGGCAAAAATAGCAACCTGAATTATCTTAAAAGAGAAGGATGTTAAAATTGAAACAGTTGATTCTCGCTAATCAACATCTTCGTCTTTTACTGTGCCATAATCATTTTTTGTTTATTTCTAGGACTGGCAGCCTCCCTTTGCAGTAGAAGTTGACAACTTCAAATTTACTCCTAGAATCCAGAGGCTAAATGAACTAGAGGTAAAAGGGAAGTCACCTCTTTATAGTGAAAGCTGAATTCTGATCTCATTTTACTTGTAGTTTTACTGCAGTTAAAAGAACTTAGGTTTTGAAATCAAGTATATTTTGGTTATAACTCAGCTTAGTTGTTTCCCAAAATATTTGTTGATCTTGCATAAGGTCTTTTCAAAATTTTAAGACATGAGAGTTTAAGTTTTTAGAGATGAGCAAACTAAAATTAGAGCTGTCACATAGATACTACCTTTTCTGTTTTTTTCACCCCATACTCATATTTTATCATTTTGGATTTTTCCTGATTTGTCAAATAGTTCAGAGCAGAAATATGGTCTTCTAAATTTCCAGCTAAATTAGGTGGTTGTAGTTGTTCTTTTTGAATAAAATACATTGTTTAGGAATGGGTCAGAATAAGTAGTAGAGGTAGAACTTGTTTATTAAAGCAGTCACGGGGATATATTCCACTTAGTATTAAATATGGGAAAGGTAATGAATGGTTCAGCATTTTTTTTTGCTATTAGAAATTACTGAGGTAACGGAGGGAGAGTTCAGAAAAGGGTTTCACTTCCAATTTTTTTGACATAGAATCAGAAAATATTTTATTCCCTTCACTCAAATGGATATCTTAAGGAAGATATTAGCTTGAGCCTAAATAGTCTTGTTCAGGCTTCATTAACTTAGCCCAAGAGTAATGCTTTAAAGTTTAAGATAGAGGATTTTCGACTCAGCATCGCCTTCTGCAGTCTATCAGATGAAAGAGTTGGCATATTTGAGCTTTTTATAGACCTTCGTGGTGATTTAGGCAGTAAAGCCTAGGCTGTAGCCTAGTAGAGAACTGAAGATAGTTCAGAACAATAGTACCATCCACTTTATATTTTACTAAAGTCAGGTTAATGAGTAAGCCAACCTGATGGGGCTCTCTCTTCTCTAGGCTGAGACCAGAGTGAAACTGAACTATTTGGACCAAATTGCAAAATTCTGGGAATTCCAAGGTTCTTCATTAAAAATTCCCAATGTGGAGCGGAGGATCTTGGACCTCTACAGCCTTAGTAAGGTAAGGGTAATTCTATCTTCAAAAGGGAAAACAAGCCCTTGGCTGGTATACCCTGTATGTTGTGTCCTTGGGCAGAAAAGATGAGAACATAGTACATGTTAACATTTCTTGGCAAAGTCTTTTGAGTTTTGTTTTGAAATGCTTGGAACAGCCTAAATTTTTAGGCCTAATTGCTATTTTTAGGTCCCTCTAGTCTGCTTACAGTTAACCTGTAGTCTTTCTTATCCTTTCAGATTGTGATGGAGGAAGGGGGCTATGAAGCTATCTGCAAGGACAGGCGGTGGGCCCGAGTTGCCCAGCGTCTCCGTTACCCACCAGGCAAAAATATTGGCTCCCTGCTAAGATCTCACTATGAACGCATCATTTACCCCTATGAAATGTTTCAGTCTGGAGCTAATCTTGTGGTGAGGGTCCTTAGCTGGTTTGGGTCCTTAGCTGGTTTGGGGCCTAATGTGATTTGCTCTTTCGGCTGTCTACCCTCTCTTGGTTGGTCTCTCTCCTGAGTTCAAGGTTTAAACTCTTAAGTTCATTGATAGAATTAGAACTTCTAGGAGGCCCTGGAAAATATTCTGCAGCTTATGTGAAGAAATTTTGTACCTGCTAGGCTAGCTAGATAAGGACTAGAGTGTCCTTTCCCTTTGTCTTAGATCATTGTTGTGTAATAGGATCTTTTTATGGACAAGATCTTGGGCCTATTTTAGGTCATCCTTCATGAAAGAGATAATTATAAAATTATCTTATGCACTTATTAAACTTCTTGAGCATGGTTCAGATAAAGTGAGTTTAGGGTTAAAGCATTGGTATTATTTGCCCTTGACTTGAGTAGGAACTGATTTAGCTGGTATCTTAAATAATAAGTTTTTAAGTTTTATTATCTGTAAAGCCCTTTTTAAATGCATATGTATATATGTGTAAAAATATATACATGTTTTTATCTAGTCTACATAATTCTGTTAGATTTGATGTTTTTATTACCGCTTTTTCAGACAAGGACATTGGAACAGAACAAGAGGTCTCTTATGTTCACAGACCATACACAGAGTAAAAGAATTAGAAAAAAAAAAGTAAAAGTGGAAGACTAAATGTCCAGGTTTAGATCTACCAGTATGCTTCCAAAGACAATGTTGTTTTTATACTCTAATGCTTATACATAAGAAAAAGTATATGTAAGATATAATTTCTCTACTTGGAGAGGAATTCTCATAAGAGCTTGTCATTCTACAGGATGAGAAGGGGCTAGATTTGTTTAGAATGAAGTATAGTTTTCATTGTCAGAGATTTAGAATGAAGGAATACTTTATTTGTTGATTGTTAATGTGACTCAATTCCTGATCCTAGATTTTTTTTCCCCAGCAGTGTAACACTCACCCATTTGACAGTGAAGATAAAGACAAGGAGTATAAACCCCACAGCATTCCCCTTAGGCAGTCTTTGCAGCCTTCCAAGTTCAGCAGCTATAGTCGCCGGGCAAAATGGCGACAGCCTGATGTGAGTGTCTTTTTTTTTCCTTCATAAATTGCCAGAGTTCTTCTGGGACTTGCTTTGGGAGACAGTTCATTTGTGTAAAACATTGTGATTTATTTATTTATTGTTAAACCTATAGCTGTTTCAAAAATGAATGAATTGAAATGAGAGTTATTTGGTTTCATAGTTCTGGTTTGCAATATTTTTATAGTTTACCTTTTACAGATTTTCAAAAGTAAACGTATAGTCTCCTAATATCATTTTAGGAGTTAATATTTGTGAATCTTGAGATGAGTTCCACAAAGCACACTATATAGTTGTTTGTTTAATAACTGTTGGTTTTTGTTCTGTGTTCTTTTATGAGATGGTTAGTCAGGTGTGGTCAGAAGTGAACCAACAGAGGTTTAGGAAACAAAGTTTATTATGTTTAGGAGATAGGGCTTGCAACACAGTCCACAGTGGGAAGCATAAACGTGAGTCAGGAGGCAGAAGGGGCAGGAGTGAGGGGAGAGCCTTGGTGGTGGGCTTCGTTGAGGTTTCTAGGGGAAGGGCAAGGCAGGACAGGGTTAGAGGTTAGGATTGCCTGATCTGAACAATTTTGGCAGGCTTTAACCTATAGGGGTAGTTCTTAGTTGCCTAGCACCTGGCTAAGACAGAGGAATGTTGTCTCCTAGAGTGCAGGAGACAGAGGACTTAAAGCTTCAGATTAGTTTGTTATATATCCAAGACATACTATGTGCTGGCTTATTTGCTATGTAGAAAAATTGGCTATCAGAGGACAAATCACTGTACTCAAAGATTTTCAAGATTTCAAAAATAGAGAAAAAATGTAAACAATACAGTCTTAAATTTTCTTAAGACTGTTTTGTATGTCCACATATACATAAAAATTTGGATGTGCTGTTCCTTTGAGTCCATAAATTTTACTGAAAGAGAAGCACTTGTGAAGCCACATGCTAGCTAGAAAAAGGACCAGGTTCCGGGGCATGCAGTCTAAACCTGCAGCTGCTGGACTAAATGGAGAGACAGACGTGTCTGCTGTCCTGGGGTTTCTGCTACTCTTTCATAAGACGAGTTTGGGGAATAAAGATATAAGTTGTTCTGAAAAGATTTACATTGGCTGTGGACAAGGGGACAGGGGATAGTGAAGAAGAAAAAGTTTCAGGCTAGAGTAATTCACAAGGAAGAAATGTCTGCTGTTTCTGGATCGGTTGTGGGCCACAGTCTGGAAACTTCGTTGGTAAGCAAGAGGTGGTGCTTGCTGCCTGGTGGTGGGCTGTTCTATGTAAGAGCCGAAAGAGCCTCTTGAAGTGGACTCAGAGTTTCAACATACATTCAGCCTTGAGCAATCTTTTGTTACTTTCAGCCCAGGGCTCTGTGAACTGATTACCTTTCCTTGTCTCTTCCTCCCACTCTCTGGCTAGCTGTACTTGATGGCAGCCTAGAAATATTCTCATTCTCTTATCAATTTTTATTGCTGAAATACTGTAAAGAAGGATTAAGGTGTGTATCCAAAGTAATTGGGTGAATATTAATAATAAACCTAAAATATTTTCGCATTAGAATGAATAAAGAAATAGTAATCCAGGTCAGGTTATTAAAAGTCAGATTCTGAATTTCATTAGCAGTTCAGTTCTTTATAACAAAAAGTGTCTGAAAATAAGTTGAATAAGAAAATGAGCATGTTATAACTTGGAAGTCAGTAAAATTTGAAAGTTGTAAGTATAAGCCAATGGAACACATTCCTTTCAAAATCTGACAGTCTTTAGACACTTGTTTTCTGAAGACAGGACTATTTACTTTGCTGGAAAGGTTTTTTAAATTCTTGAAAACTGTCTGGTTATTAAACCAAATAATAAATTGGTTGGACTTTCAAAACATTAAAGAAAAAAAGTTGTAGGTTAATTCTGTATAGAGCAGAAAACAAGTAAAGCTAGTAATAGAAATTATGAAGATGAGCACGTCTTTTCCATTTTATACATTAGTATATGTTAAAAAAGTTAATAGTAAGATGTCTAAAAGGTTAAGAGTAATACTGTGTCATTTCATATTTTAAAACAATCTCTTAAAAGGTATATACTTTGCTAGAAAAATGTTAAGGTAATATGTAATATATAACATGATGTAATTAACATGTAATTAATATGTAATTTAAAAGTATAATATAATGTCATGGTATCTAGAAGTTACATGCCTACAAAACTGATTAAATCTTCTTTCGCTTCCTGTTTTCAAGCTTCTTTTATTAACCCTAATTAACTATTTTAGTTCCATTGAAAGACAAGTTATAATGGTATACACAATTCCCCTAGAAACAATAGGCATATCTCACCACAGAAGACCATAAGCATTAGTGTCAGTGAGGAGGTAGATAGGAAGTGCAGGGAAAAGGCATAAGCCACAGTCTTTGTTGGAGTTTTTCTCAGGAAAGGCAAGGCGCAGAGTAGGGCAGACATTTAGAATTAGCTAGTTTGAGTAATTCGCAGGCTCTGGGGCATAGGGACTATCCTTAGTTATTTGGTACCTGGCTATGGGTTGATTTAGGGCAGGGAAAATATCTTCATGTCTGAGAGTTAGATGAGTTCAATGAGGGTATGGACTTTTGTATATGAAAAGCATACTCACCTACATGTTGTTTACTGTCTCTAGGAACTGGCTAGCCCTGGAAGGGAGAGTGTCCTAAGAGTAGCCAAGAAGCATCTTCTTGCCCCAGATATGTTAAAACACCCTAAGATATAGAAAATTTATAAAAAATAATTATATAATTGTTCATAATACCAAAAAATTGAATCATGTCAACGTTGTATAATAAAAGCATAGGTTAAATTATTTCTGGAATAACATAGTAAAAAAAGCTATGGAACACATATAGATATAGATATAGATCTATATATGGGGGGAAGGGATAATGTATATGTCTCTCCAGCTCAGAAATTTTATTCTCGAACATACTTTTATTTTGAGCTGTGTTTCCTCTAATCATCTTGATCATTGGGAAATTATGCTTACTACCACCATTATGTTCCCAGTTAACCCAGTGTTTTTCATACACAATTTATATTATTTCCTGCATAAATTATTTTGGGAGTACAACAAAACCAAATTTGTTAGGTGTGTTGGAACATAGATAAAAAAACATATGGTGCCCACTAAAAATAAATATATGATGACTATGGTATAATATGCTATATGTGTTTTTTGACATAATAAGTTTCAAATTTCCCATTATGGGGAGAAAGAAGTTTTCTAATGATCTGAATTACAAACAGAATAGGGACCTTCCTATTTTACCATTTGCATCTTCAGTTGCAGAAAGAGACCTGTTTATAATATACTTATTGAACTGTCTAGTATATTTTATATTTTATGATTTTAAGCTTTTTTTTTTTTTTTTTTTTTAACATAAAATGAGGAAAGAAATTTCTCTGTGTGTTCCTACTTAGCCGTATTTTATCCACAGGTAAAAAATGTGTCATCAGTAAACATTTGAAAATGGGTGGAGTCTTTTGATTAATTTTAATCTATGTGGTTTCTTTCACCTTTATAAGATCTGGGATATTTTGCAAATATGAAAGTCTAGATCTTGCCTAAAAAATTATATTTACATATTTAAAATCATTTTCTTGTTTGAATCCTGCTTTAATAGCCGGTGCCCACTGAAGAGGACATTAAGAAGAATCCGGAGCTGAAGAAGTTGCAGATTTATGGAGCGGGCCCCAAGATGATGGGCTTGGGCCTTATGGCCAAGGATAAGACTTTACGGAAGAAAGGTGAAGTGTAATAGACTGAGATACAATATGAGGAATAAAGTACTAACGTGCCATTGGATAGATGATTTGTTTATTTTGATGGAGAATAGGTTTATTTTCGGATTTTTTTCTTACTTTCTTAGATAAAGAAGGGATCATATGCCCCCACGCTATTACAATGAAGGAGGAGCCAAGTGGGGATGGGAAAGTGATGTTAACATTGCCCAAGGAGGACTTGAATCACAACCTAGAGCCTTGCACCAAGAGGACCAGGCGTCTACAAAAGAATCACTGCAGTGCCCAGTTTGTAAGGACTCACCTGTGATTTTATAATGTTTTTGAACTTTAAAGACTAGGTGGAAACTAAAATTAATTCCACTTTTCTTTTTCTTTCCATCCGTTTACATCTGACCCCTATATTATGAAGAGACTGATAGCCAGGAAAAGGAAGAAACATACTCAAGTTGTTACAGTTAGGAGCAAAATTTATGTCAGCTATTTTTTAGACCAGGAATATTCACCAAATTGCTATAGATTTTGAACTCCTGTAATAACCATTTTCTGAATGTCTTAATATGGTAGGAGAGAATGTGACCAAATATAAATTATGTGAAAAAGCAATTTGTTTTGGCAAATGCTTCAAGACTCTCAAAGCCTCATGTTATATAGTAGTGCCTCTCTTCTATGATATTGCTTTACTTCTGTCTTTTATATGTATAAATCTTTGTCCCTTTTTCCTACTCTTACAGAAAGATTTTTACAATCTCTTTAAGTATTCTAGAGTTTCGACATTTACATAAAATGGTAAATTTCCTTTCTTGATTGTCCTCTTTCCTCTCTGGCTAATTTTACTGTGTTCTTATTTTTTGTTTGCTCCTATCTACTCTGTAAATGTTGATATTCTCAGAAATGTTTATCTTTAAGCAGATTACTGTTTTGAACTCCAGTTTCCTCTGTTTCTCTTTAATTATCTCACATGATCACTGAGTGATCATCTTTACTGTCCCCAGTTGATCAGGTGTTTCTCATGCTTTAGACTGTCACAAAATCCAGGCTTGGGAATCATTTATGATTTTTCTGTTACCCCTACATCTAGTTGATCACCCAGTTCAGATGCTTTTTATTTTTATTGCAGTATAGGGTACATACACAAAAATACGTATATTAGTTTTACTTGTTTTTGTCCTTTAAAAAAGTAGTATACAATACATAATCTCGTATTGGCTTCTTTGTTCAGTATTAATGTTTGAGAGATTCGTTTGTATTGTGTAAGTTCTCATTGTATTATTAAGCACAATTTTAGCTAACTTCACTATAGTTTTTAATCTGTTTTACTGTTCATGAAGGGGTTTTTTTGGTAGTTTTCAGTTTGGGGCTACTACAAATTTATGCTGCTGTTAAAGTATATGCCTTTAGTATAACTCATAAGCTTATATGTAGGTGTTTCTGTTGTATATATAAGTAGGATTGGAATAGCCGTGATAGAGGGTCATCACTTTATATACATATGTAAGTATATGCAAGTTTACATATGTTTGTGTAAATATTTACAGTCTGTGCTAGCTAATAACAATGTTATTCTCTGAATGATCCATGCTAGTTTATACCTTTATGACGTGGTTATATAGTATTGAGCCTTCCATAAAGAGTCTCCTTTGTGCCTCTCAAAGCACCTTAACTATAGTTTTTTCTTAATATGTTATTTAGTAATTATTTCTGTCCCCTCCTCTTTTCCATAAGATTGAGAACTCATGGATGAAGTCAGAAATAGAACATTGCATAGTTGTTGACCGGTGGTAGGTGTTTAAAATGAATAGCCTGGAAACCTGAAGTAAGGTATCATGGAGTAAGCAGCTTATATTTTTATTTATTTATCCTGTTAGATTGACTCATATGTTTGCCGAATATGCTCCCGAGGGGATGAAGATGATAAACTTCTTCTCTGTGATGGCTGTGATGACAATTATCACATCTTCTGCCTATTGCCACCCCTTCCTGAAATCCCCAGAGGGGTTTGGAGGTGCCCAAAGTGTATAATGGCGGTAAGGCTTATCTAACATAGATGTTTTCAATTTAGTTCTTGGTAATACTTCTATTAGGTTTAGATTAGCTTTCATTGACATAGTAAGCAAGAATGGTTGGTCATATTAACAGCAGGGTAGTAGAGACTTAAGCAAGACAGAGAAGAAGGATTATAATCCAGATCACATGAACCATAGGAAACAAAACAAAATATGTGTAGTGGATACCAAAGAAACTTAACCTACCTAGAAACAGTAAGAAAGGTGGAGATACAACTTGAGATATATCTGTAGCTTTTTTTTTTTTGGTTCTTTGCCTGTTGCTTCTGTCTTGTTAAGATATTTTATGTTTCAGGAGTGTAAAAGGCTCCCTGAAGCCTTTGGCTTTGAGCAAGCCACCCAGGAGTACACTTTGCAGAGCTTTGGTGAAATGGCTGATTCCTTCAAGGCTGACTACTTTAACATGCCTGTACATGTATGTGGTTCTGGAATGGGACATAGGGATTGATATCTGATACTTGTGCTCATGGGAACATAGGGTCAAAGTAATGGGCTGTGGTCATTTTTATACCTGTTATCACAGATGGTACCTACAGAACTTGTGGAAAAGGAATTCTGGAGGTTGGTGAGCAGCATTGAGGAGGATGTGACAGTTGAGTATGGAGCAGACATTCATTCTAAAGAATTTGGCAGTGGTTTTCCTGTCGCCAGTAGCAAAGGGAACCTGTCCCCTGAGGAGGAGGTAATACAGATGGTAATTCATATTAATAGTTTGGCTAGGGAAAGTCATTTTAGCATTTTGAAAGGATTCTGTTCCTATGGGACCTTACTCACAGTGCTATTTTCACATATTAGGGATAAAGGTGAAGTTTAATGACATTGCATGATCTGTCAGTTACCCAGAATTTGTGTAGTTACTATTATTAC